CTCAGTGTCTCTAACCATCGGTTGCGATGATTCCGAGGTCCCCAGCCAGGGAGCCTAACAGGACCTATGTGACCCAGTTTCCTGGTTAGGGTTTTCATACCCTCGTGCCAGGTCTTAACTTGACCACCCTTGGCTTTTTTCCACTCTGTATCTTCTTCGGCGAACATCGCTCGCCGTGGTAACCTACCTACATGCGTAACACATGTCCCAGCCAACGTAATTTATGGAGGTGCTATTCTTGGTCATTCATTTAATAATAAAACAAACTTCAAAACTTCTTACTACGGAAATGGCTATTCTTTCATATGATCTACTCTAGTCCTCATCGCGCTGTTCCATGTTGTTTTCGGTCGCATCTCGGTGCGATACGGTGACTTGGATGAATAAACTAAATTCCAAGCACTTCAGATCAAACAGACCAAAAAACAACCCCAGTGAATAGTGGTGAATAGTGGGTCAGACGTTGGCTAACCGAAGAGTCTGAGTTCAAATCATTAGGAAAAAGTTTGTCATGCAACCTAATGATATAGCGGCCATGGAAAAGTTGAATTGGATTCCCTATTATTAAGATTTCTGTATATCTGTTCGTTTACCACTCTAGAACCATATAAAGTATGATATACATGATGTGGTTTGGTTATACTCTTCACCCGTTTTCTTTTTGTTTTAGCTCCGCACCCGTTCATCCGGCCACTGGCGGGAAACAGAAAAAAAGAGCTGGTCGAGCATCTCAACAGAACCGTCGAAGGGTGCCTTCGCATCAAACCAGTGATATAGGGAACGGCGACGGAACTTTGGAAAGTGGAGACGAAGCAAATCGTGATTCCGGGCCTGAAACAGACCACTCGGAACAACGAGCTGGACGACCATCCCACCCGGAAAACTTCAATGCAGGAAATTCAAGACCTCCCGTAAATTCACGTCAACGTCGGGCTCAATATATGCAGTCGAATAATAGTGCTCTATCAAATAATCGTGGTACGTTACCCAGAAACATTGTAATGTGTGGCTGATGCAATCTGAATATATATATATATATATATATATATATATATATATATATATTACATGTGTCTTACTTTGTGCCAAACAAATAACAGTACGATAGTAATAATAAAAAACAAGTTCTATGGTTTTCTTGCGGGCGAAATACTGCTGGGTTGCCCATACTTGGGGAATTCATAACCGAAGCCTCACCCGCTGCAGGGTGGTGTATGAAAACTACAGTATTTGGAGTCGGTGTGCAGGTCATACCGTATCGTCGCCATCATACGCCCCTTGGACGGGGTCATATCCAAGGTTACCAGCACACCTTAATGACCAATCTAGTCGGTGATCACTGCAACAACCACAAATGTGTGTGGTTCGCATGCCTCTTGTTGAGTGGTTTGGAATCAGGTGTACTACCAGTGGTTCACAGACCCGATTGTAGCCACGGGTGTCTGTCCTCTCACTTTTGTGGGAAAACAACCCCGCGGGAAGGCGGTAAGGTTTTCCGATCACTGACTATTTGAGGCACTTATTTGTATGGGGGAATTTCGCGAGGTGTAAGGAAAGCGTCACTGGTTGTAACCAGACATACCCAACTCCGACAATACCGAGGCATTGAGAGATCTAACTCAGAGAGCGAAAATGCATAACACGCTGCTAGAGATGCTATTTTTTTTCCAGGCAACATATTCCTTTTCCATCAGACGTGTCATCAACGACCCGAGTGATGTAAAAGTATGGTAACACCGCGGTTGACCGCGAATTATTACCAAAGAACCTGTCCAGCTCTACTTAGTTTTGACTTTGGTTGAGCAGTCGAAGTTGCCATTCGTGTGCTCGAAACTGCGGTTCCACGACCATCTTGCCATCACTCATCAACTTTGGTAGTAAACAGCTTCACTGTTGGCTGACTTAATGCCACACCTACCCTATTACGTGTTTCTTCACTGTCATGGCTTATGTTATCAGTTCCCGTTATCAAGAAGCTGTTCCTCATAGCGTCACAGCGTTATGTACTAAAATTTTGCAAATGAAAGTATGTAACCCCTATTTTACTTTACGACTTCTAAACTATTCCATGTCCTACGGCTAAAGCTGCTTGTTCTCATCACTGAACATTAGGTCATCGTAAAGAAATAGTTCCCCCTGTACTGCTAATCGCATTACTGTGTGATAAAAATGTTTTTTGCCACTGAAACGATGAAATCTGTTCAAACGGCTATCTCATGCATTATAATGATGATCTTCACCTAAGCGCTGACGTACTCTGCTGGTTTTGCTACTCGATTCCGCATCCACGCTGCCTTACGTGGTGTTGCAATTGATCATATTATTGAGTGAATTTTTTTCGAAATCTTTTCAAATTATGGACAGTGCTCATGATCTTTTTGTCTCAGATCGCACGTTGAACGACAGAATAAAAGAAGCCCATAAAAAATGAATATTTTATTCAGTACCGGAAACGGGTAACTCTGAGACTTGAACTGGCAGACCAAATTAGACCTCGTTAACAGCCGTGTTATTGAGTTCACCTTTGTGTCATTTGATCACTAACCTTATTCCTACTCAGTTTATGTATTTGATATACAAGTATTTTCATGTGTTCACCTTCTATATTCCATCTTTGGTTGTAAAACTTATCGCTCAATAAAGACCTGTTTCTTTCTATTTTGACTAGATCCTCGAGAGAATGGTGTCCAACAAAAGAAAGGACAAGTGAATAGTTCGAACTCAGCAACACCCACGGAGCCCTACATGAACGGAACAGCGGGTCCAAAGTCGGCAAGTTTTCGACAACAACCAGCACGCGAACATAACCAGACAAGTCGCGCACAGCCGAGTGCAGCTGTTGTCGGCACAACGGCCACATGAAAGGCATCCAAATCACGGATCCATTAGTTTTTACATGACTACTTCGTTTTCCGCGCGTACTGCTTCACTTTCACCGTTTTACGCATTTATTCTCCGCGTGCCTGTCGCTTCTGACCGAACTCAAAGCCCTCTCCTTTCCGAAATCTCGTTCTGCTCTTTCCGATTCACGAACCGATCTGCGGATTGTTCATGTTGCGACTCTTTCAACTCGAGCGATTTCGTGCGTCTCACTAATGTGTCGCCCTCCTAAACACATGACTAGGAATAGTTAGGAATTCTCTGGAATTCCAATCCAGTGTACAAACGGAGCGCACTTGGCAATTGCAGGTGTTTACTCTTGAATCAAATCCTGTTGCCTTTCCCTTTACACCCATTTCCCCAACTCTTTCAAAGGAGCAAGAAGAACTGTTCAAGTAATCTCGATTGTATCCAGGTTTACTTAGCTTGAGACCTTGAATTTGGATTCAGGATGGACTGGTTTTGTTTTCTGTTTAAATGGGGTTTATACTACTGAGTTGGGCAATCCACAAGTGAATAGGGCAACTTACGGGGCATGTTTAGTTGGACACAGTCGACGGAATAGGGATAAAAGCGTTTGTACACAGTGGGTTTCAAAACGGGAACGATTTTGGAGGAGCTCCTCGGTCGGAAATCGAGTATAACCGCAGCAATTTCCTCTGCAACGTAACGATTACTGTTTGTTGACGTCGACAAATCTAGTAAAATAACGATTTTTATTCATCGCCCCTTATGAGTACCCTTTAAAATACTTGTTTCCATGAAGAACTGCTTCTATCACAATGACCGAGTTGATTACAGTTGACGAGCTTTTCAGTAAGCTTCTGCTTCAAGAAGTTATTTTCTCATTGAATCTTGTTTCTAGCAAAAAAGGATTTCTGTTTTTCTCACGTTTACATAGTGTCGATGTACAGGATTCGGTCGTGTTATTAAAAGCTTGCGCGGTTCATCAATCAGCACACACTTATTGTAAACAAAAATCGCTGTTTTGTTCCAAGTATGTTTGCTCGTTGTGGTAGGTCTACTTTTACTACTGTAACGTCTTGCTACCAGAATGATGATTAAAGTACTCAACACAAACGCAGGTAGACATAAAGTGTTTGTAAATTAAGTCACCATCCGTCTTCTTGCGTCCGCTCCAGTCCTCCTGTTTGAGTCGGATAGCCTTAGGCAAAATGGAAAAAACAAGTACTTTAAGTTGGCATTCGTTTAGATACATTCAATAAGGTTCGATGAACCCACCTCATCTGATATGGAAAATCGATTGCGCCGCATATCCCATCTCATTTCAGTGATCAATGGGCAAGATTCATAATTAACAAAAGATTGTACTTCACTAACGATTTGCTTGTTCGCTCTTTCAAAACAACGATTTTCGGTAATTTTGATCGTTGCTATACAATGTTTCCATTGCCTCTACTCTCGACTTCAGCCCCTGTTCGTTTCGAGAAAATCAGCAGCTGAGAAAAAATAGCATAGAACGTGGTACATCCATTGAAGGCGGATTGAAAGGTGAGAGAAAGTGAATACTGTGTTTTATACTAGATATATAAATATACTGCTGGGAGGAATATTTAGTCTGACAATAGCTTTTGGATTTTGTGTTGAATGCCAAGGGTATCCTAAGAAGGAGGGAATGCAGGAGGTGTGTTCTACAATTTGGTAGTTATCGGGGAAAATGCTTGGGAGCGAGGAGCCTGATACTTGGGGTTGGTGCCTGGATGCGGAAATTAGGAGGAACAATGAATAAGCGAGACAGGAGTGAATCTTTTTGGCCAAAAATGTAGTACACTGCAGGTCAAATGACGATAATGAATCGGCTGTACAATAGTTAATTATTAACGGTAAATTAGGTTAGAGTTTAGTCATTGAATAGACATAAATTCACGTTGAACCCGATCAAGAAGATTCAAAGCCGTGGACCAAGGCATACCCGACACCTGACCACGGCATCCAAATGCGGTGGATATAAGCTTAGCGAGGTGAGTGAAAGTGAGAGTAAATGTGGTCTGATAGGAAAAATCAGTCTGCACAGTTTGAGGCCAGTAAATAAACATGCAATGACCGTCATCATGGTAAAGCAAGATACAAATAAGTTAAATTCACTGATTGCTGCCAGACTCGCAGTGTACACACAGTAAGTGACGAAGAACAGGGTGCGGGTCTGATTGGAGGTAAGCAAAGAAAGTGTACTTGTATGGCCAACACAAAGTGCACAACCTAGCTGTACGGACGTACCTTTTCAAGCATTCTGACTTGATAAGAAACGGCGATAAGAGCGCCACTGTTGACGGTCTGCTATTGTACCCCTCAGTGTCTCCAAGCAAACAGTTACAGTTTTTCGGACCCTCAACCTGGAAGATTCGATACCTACTTTACTTGATCGCTCGTTGAATTTCTTCATGCTTCATCATCTGTTGCCCACGCGGTTTCCTCCATCCTGGAGCCGTAACTGCGATTCACTTGGGGTGCGGCTCTTGATCATCAAGCATCGAAGTAGACGACACCGAGCCTTGTAGCATCACTTTGCATCGCATACCAAATGGAGTTTTAGAACTTGAAAGTCTATGAAGAGCGCTTTGGGCATCCTCCATGCATTCGAACAAACACTACATCGTCAGCGTACTCCAAATCGCACAGCCCTCTATGTGACCATTGAATACCAACAGTCCATCTACGCAAAATGGATTAGAAATGGTAAAATTGTGCATCGATGTTAGTTTTGCACAACCCCGGCTAGCTGTAGACTTACTCTGGTACACTGATCTCAATAGGTTCGCATACTTCTGAGGCGGAGGCGAAGATGGTAGAATATTCTCAGTAAATTGATTAACTCTCTGGATTGACAAACTTTTGATTTGTTACGAGGAGTGGCTATTTGCACATGCGGAAACAACCTAAGGTCTAAATAGGATAATAAGCCGGGAGACTAATACGATGCGTACAACCGAAGTTGGGTATTCGAGCTAGAGCTTGATCCTAGGATCAGATCATGAAGCATCCCAGGAAATGTGACGTGAATTCGGCTGACTATGACTGTATTTCATCAACCATCTCTGGAAAGGTTGAAAACGTTTAACATCTCCCAAAGGCAACTCATGGTTTACATTCACTACGACCCAGCCGTTGTAACATGTCGCGTCTGGTACACTAGTGATTGAGACCACCATTTAAGTAGATATCCTAATCTGATCCGATATTGGTTACAAGGTCCTGTTTGAAAAATCCGTCCTTAGTTGTCACAACAGAAATGTATGTATCCACCGACTTATCATCTGATATTTTGTGTGTGGTTGCTTTAGTGACGTGAACTCAAACAGCCAACCGAATGGCGGTTGACGATGTGCTCGGACATATGAGAAAACGATAATTGGAAGCAATGTTTTCCCGTCACAAATTTGAATAGAGAAGTTAGAAACATGGGTTTGGGTGCAAACCCATGTTTCTGACTTCTCTATTCACAAAAGATAATTTCTTGTCCTTCAAGTCAAGTCAAGGGATGGCTTTATACACCTCGAGAGGCGGATATTCAGCAACTACATAACCACAGTGTGTCAACAAAAAGTGATAAAAACATTATAATACAACAATTAAAGGACAGCAACATGACAAACCAATGGCATACCCTCTTGTTTATGATTTCCTGCAACGAGTTCATGGTTTGTTAGAAATCTGGCGAGATCCGGGACAATGGACTGCCTGTAAGCTTCAGTACGTGTCTATAAATTTGTGAGTGGAAGGGTTGGATAAGTGAGAAAGGCTCTGACTAAAGGCGGAATAAAGAGGATGGGAAATGTCAGATAAAATCTTGTTCGAGAATGTATTACAGGACTTGATGTGATTTGTCACCACCTACTGTACCAGATGTTCCCGTGGTATGAGACTGACAAACTTGAGGGGTTGGAAAATGAGTTTGAGGTCCTTGCTAAAAAGACCAGGGAAGATAACAAATTTTGATGAGAGAAAATCTGATTTATGGGTACGGTAAATATAGTCCAATGTATGCTCAAATCTGAATCGGTGGCGATGTGTTTTGTCTTGGTTTAATTATTGTTACTGATTACCAAACGCGATACCTCTATCATTGGCAAAAAGCAAAACACACGATAAAGTCAATGTGATCCGTTCCATCTGCTGATTGCAAGTTTATAATCTCTCCTTTATCTCACCTGGCGGACGCGTCACGGATGAAGTCCCGGCACGCTTAGAAAGGCTCGGTTGGCATTTGCCAACTTGCGACATCTATGGTGCCGTCGCGATATTGGGCTGTCCATCAAGGGTCGAGTGTGGGGTGCAGCTAGAAAGTTTATGTTTAATCGTTGTGAAACTGAAACTGAATCTTGCTTTTCAGTCAGTTCTTTTTCATGGAATATTCCACGCCTTACTGAAGAAATCATCTTGGTTAGTAGTCAAGACTGCAACAAATCAGACTGCGGTAGTTAAATCCGAGGAAACTGGTTGAAGTTCAAGCATTCTAATGGGCTTCCGGGAAAGTTTATCTTGGTTTGCTTTGGATGTGATCCAATGGACTTACTAGTTTTAGAGATTTTACCGTTTATTCCACACTCATTTCGTTCATTAGAGCAGCATACTTCAAGTTTATTCTCCATTGATATCAGGCACATTCAGGGTTCTATTTAACACCAATGACGATGCATCGATATCGGATGAGACGTCATCATTCCTAAAACCCTACGGTAGATTCAAGTATGTGACCATGTTCAACCTATTCCAGTGCGCACCGGCAGCATCAGTCATGCACCACTTTTGGGATAAAATAGAAAATCCCGTGTTCAAAGTTAGAAGAAAACTGGCCTGACAATCCTTAACTTCGCACTTAACGGTTGGCAGATTATCGTTTATCTGACCCAGCCGTTCGTGTCCGTTTTGAATCAGAACTAGGACAAGAGCTAAACGCTCGGCGGGATGGTAGTGTAGATGAACAATGGGATCAGATTAGCCGAGCAATGCACTCCGCAGCG